AAATGCCCTCCTACTTTCTCTGGTGTTATGTTATTGTCATCTAAAAACTGGCAGGGTGCAATCTCTTCAACGCCAGATAGTTGTGGGAATGTGGGTTGGTGCAGAATGTTGCAAATGGATGTGGGCCCTTAGCCATCATAATGCTTATGGAGCAGAAATAAACCCTTTCATTACATCACATTAGATTTTCCAGTAACTCGCAGCTCTATCTAGCCTACTGTATACTGCACCGAGAGGGCCTGGATCTTACTTTCTGACTGGCTAAACTGATGAAAAGCATGTATGTGCGAAGAGGAATGAGAGGCAAATGAGTTCTCAGTCGACAACTTTATTTGCACTCAATGACAAGGTAAAACTAACAGACACTAAAATTTTATTCTAGCAGTGATCTTGACACTATGTTGGTTTCTTGGTTACTTGTGGTTGTTCCGTTTTGATTATTTTCTGTTTTGGCGATGATTTCTTGACCTTCACATCTTGACCTTTAAGCATCCTCTTCAGCTTCCTCCTCAAATTCACCCTCTTCCTCTGCAGTGGCATCCTGGTACTGCTGGTACTCTGACACCAGGTCATTCATGTTGCTCTCCGCTTCAGTGAACTCCATCTCATCCATACCTTCCCCTGTGTACCAGTGCAAGAAGGCCTTACGGCGGAACATGGCTGTGAACTGCTCGGAGATGCGCTTGAACAGCTCCTGGATAGCAGTGCTGTTGCCGATGAAAGTGACGGCCATCTTGAGGCCACGGGGTGGAATATCGCAAACTGCGGTCTTGACATTGTTGGGGATCCATTCAACGAAGTAGCTGCTGTTCTTGTTCTGCACATTGAGCATCTGCTCATCGACCTCCTTCATGGACATGCGGCCACGGAACACGGCGGCAACTGTCAGGTAGCGGCCGTGGCGTGGATCGCACGCGGCCATCATATTCTTGGCATCAAACACCTGCTGGGTGAGCTCGGGAACTGTGAGGGCGCGGTACTGCTGGCTGCCCCTGCTGGTCAGAGGAGCGAAGCCAGGCATGAAGAAGTGCAAACGAGGGAAAGGCACCATGTTGACGGCCAGTTTGCGCAGATCTGCATTGAGCTGGCCAGGGAAGCGGAGGCAGGTGGTGACCCCGCTCATAGTGGCGGACACCAGATGGTTAAGGTCTCCGTAGGTGGGTGTGGTTAGTTTCAGGGTGCGGAAGCAAATGTCATACAGAGCCTCGTTATCGATGCAGTAGGTTTCATCTGTGTTCTCTACAAGCTGGTGGACTGACAGGGTGGCGTTGTAAGGCTCGACCACAGTGTCTGACACCTGCGAACACAGAACTTCTATTTAGTTTCAAGATCTTAGGAGAAACCTCAGGCCAAAGAAACTATAACTAAAACCAAAAATCTATCATGTGCTATCACAAGGAGATGTTACCTTGGGGGAAGGCACCACACTGAAGGTGTTCATAATACGGTCTGGGTACTCTTCGCGGATCTTGCTGATGAGCAGGGTTCCCATACCAGATCCAGTTCCTCCACCAAGTGAGTGGGTGAGCTGGAAACCCTGCAGGCAGTCACAGCTCTCTGATTCTTTGCGGACCACATCCAGGACTGAGTCCACCAGCTCGGCTCCCTCTGTGTAGTGACCCTTGGCCCAGTTGTTTCCAGCACCACTCTGACCTGAAGGAAAAGGAGTGGCATTCAAGTGAGTAACATTTTTCCTTAAATCAAAAAGGAGCATGAGACATGTCTTTAAGGCACCCACCGAACACGAAATTGTCAGGTCTGAAGATCTGACCAAAGGGTCCAGACCTCACAGAGTCCATGGTGCCAGGCTCCAAGTCCACCAGAATGGCTCGAGGCACGTATTTACCTCCTCCACACGAAAGAGAAGAAGAGGAGAGCAAGACAGAGAGAGAAGTAGAAAGAAAAGGGGGCAAAAAAACACCAGCTCAATAATATAGGAAGGACCTTTGGATATAGGTGAAAAGGTGTAGAAACAGTACAGTAGAGATGAGAATGCAAGAAGAGATGTAGTGTCATACTTTGGAATTAAATTGTCAAGTTAAAAATGAATCCATATAATATACCCTCACTTATTAACATGAGTTAGGAAGTCAGCTAACCTGTGGCCTCATTATAGTAAACACTGATCCTGTCCAGCTGCAGGTCACTGTCTCCATGGTAAGTCCCCGTGGGATCGATGCCATGCTCATCACTGATCACTTCCCAGAACTGCAGACACAAAATGGAAGATATCACATGACAGTTACTTGCAACGAAAGTACACATCTACCCATTAGATGTGCGGTTCATGGGATCAGGGGGTGGGGGTGAAAATGAGGAAAACAGCAGTGGGTTTGCATTTTTGTTTTCTGATGGAAATGACAGGATTTTTCCATTTTTCAGCGAGCCATATCTGAACCCATTCCCAACAACGCTGCTTTTGAGATTTCCGTAAGTGTCGAGTGATGACTTAGCAGAATGCGATTCTTTCATATGTAAAATGCAAAGGAGGGAGGAACAAAGGCGCTACAGATCCGTCTGCGGGCCAACCTGCAAATAAAATCCATTTGCAAGCAGTCAGACAACACTGAAGATACTGACTCCCTTCAGATCTGAATTCATGTCTTGTTCACTGTTTAACATTCAGATTTTTTAGAGTGTTTATGTCGTAATAAATCTTGTCAGTGCGTATTACTCTACCATATTTACTGATATCGTCCAACTCAGACATTTCTTTTCAACACAGCCGGTGATTTCCTGCTAACAGCGCAATACGAGGATTTGGAATAATCTGGATAAGCTGGCTGTATAGCAGAGCACTGCTTAAGAGATTGGGAGTCAGCTGTGGACCAAGTATCATGACATCTAAATAAGGCCATGTAAAGCAAAAACGATTAAGTGACCTTAATATGGAGAAGATAAGATCAACACAGCAGAACAAAGAAACACAAAATCAAAAACAAGAATAAAGAAAAATAATGCTAGGACAGCTACAGTGACACGAGAGTAGATAAAGACTGAAAATAACCACAGTGAAAGAATGAGGACAATAAGCAGAAAAGCAATGCCACACCCTGACCTAATTCACCACAGTGTAGCCCTTCAGCAGTTCTGTCAATCATACCCGCTGGACATCTGAGTCAATGAGTCCTTGGGGGGTGGAATCCAGAATATCCTCACTTCCAGGCTACAAGCAGCTATCTTTACATCATATATCATTAACACAAAGGAAATAATGGAGCAGTGGGCTTAAATAAGGAGGCACTTATAAACTGAATTTAGTAACTTAATTAATTTTTTTTTTACTGCAACTGATTTTGGTGCAACTGCAATAAATACTAAATAGAATTACATATAATGGGCACAATTTGTATTTATTTCCTAAAATTAGTCTACCAAGACATTGCCAGCAACTGCACATTAAGTCAATTGAGAACCCAGTGACTTCACCCACTGTGCATCAGCTGTTTCCTCCATTCCTCCCCCACCCTTCTCCTAATTTGGTTAGGGGAGGAAAGACATTGATTGCAAAGAAGGCCCTGTTTTACAGAACATCTGTCAGCAGCACATCATGGCAGTAATGATGCATCCTGCAAAATATGGGCCATTGTTAGTGTAGTCTTTAAACTACAGTCCATCTAAATAGCAGGGCGAGATTACTGTTCTACTTAAACATATGCTGTCTGTGGCAAATGATCAGCTGGAGAACAAAAGGAGATAGTAAAACAGGGATAATAATGGGCCACTCATTATCTAACCTATTGTAGCTGTATGTTGCTATAAAAAATGGGTGGGTGATGAACTGAGCCTATGCAGACTTTGACTCCCTCCCCCTTTTTTGTTGGAATATAGAATTAAAATGCAGCAAAAACATATACAATTTGATTTTTAAAAAAGCAGTTACGTGAATCTTGATTATAAGTATTTAGATCATGTCTTTGTTAATATGCAGCTTTTAAAAAAAATAAATAAAGGGAGAATTTTTTGTTGACCAATTATCCATGCCACACCCTTCAACAGCTCTTCTGCTTTCCAAGCACCCCAAACTGCAGTCTTCCTTTAAAGCTTGCCAAATCAATAATCTAATCAGTATGGACTATTGATCCATCAGTCTTTAGTGAGGGGCATAAGTAGGCCTCTCAAGCCCAGCTCCCCACTCATTGTCTGGAATACCAGTCATATCTGGATGTGTAAGACAAAGAAACCCGAGTGCGGGGAGATCTGACAAGTAAAGAATAGACTGATTTTTTCCCCTCTCTCCCTTTTTCTGTCTCTTTTCCTGAGACAGTGTCTTGAGGTCAGCTGAATCTGAAGTGCCGGGGACGCAGACACGCCCGGCGTTGTGTGAACAAAAACCAGTCGAGACACAAGAGCCCCCCGTTATACCGTTACTTCAATACGAGCGGCTGCGCTCTGCTGCTCCACACCCACCCACCAGTTACCGCAGTGCACAATATTTAGTAAAAAAAAATAGACGCACACAAAAGTGATCACTTGACATTTACAGTTATATTTATATGCTAAAAGATATACGGTGCATGAAAAGGGTATCCTTTGTCTTCACTGAGAATTCTTTTCCAGACAAGCCGAATGATTAAACTATGTCCTGATTATTAAACGTGAATTGTGACAGAAAAACACAGAATTTATTTTATTTCTTTTAAGAACATAAATTCTTTGCATTATATTTTCTTACCTTGGCACCAATCTGGTTACCGCACTGGCCGGCCTGGATGTGCACGATTTCCCTCATTATGGATGCAAAAGTTTTACAATGGGTAGCAAAAAAAGGCAGCTGTTTAATGAGCACGAGGAGCCGACCGCAGACTGGTGTGAATGTGCCGGACAATGGATTTATATCGCTGGAGCGTTTCCAGAGCTAAGGCTAGGGTTGGGCGTGGCCAGACACCGCTGCCGCAGACGGGGATTGGCTGAGCGGAGTAGCACGGAGGAGGAGGAGCCTCACAGCTGCAGATCTGGGAGTGGAAATTAGATATATGGATTGACCAGAATGTTACCAGCTGGTGTCTGGAAAAAAATGCCAGAAAGATACATTACAGTTGTTTTAGCTACCAGAGGATGACGACAACCCATTACTGTATCTGCTTCTGCAGAGGAAACAGATGAAATGGGGACAAGATGGGGTCAGCCGGTTCATCAGGACTAGCTGCTGAAACAACAGCATGTTGAAGCCTTTCTCTAGCTTCATGTTCAAACGAGCTGCAATACCTTACATATAGTTTAAATATGTGTGCATTGCTGTACTTATTAGCCACCACAAGACAATGTGAAAATGCAAGGGTAGGAATTATTGTGTAGGAGGGGTGTGTGCCAGGCCTCTGATCCAAGCTCTCAGCAGATGATCTCAGGAAAACAGGAGCAAATCTATATATGTTTGGCAATGGATTGCAGAAAATAAACTAAACACTGTTTCTAAAGAATGATAATGTGTATAGGCTATGAAATAGTCTTGACAGATCTTTAGAAAATGGCACACTTTATTGATATTTTTACTCCATTGCATTGGTTCTATTCTTTATTTTCTTCCTTGTTCAAGACAGAAAGGACACTTTCAGCACATTTGGGTAAATGACTAAGCATAATTGTTACTAGCTGTGAATGCATCTGCAATCAAATTTAGCTTCACTTTAGATTAATAGTTACTTAGCCCTGAAATGAATCTGTAAAAATGCTAAAATATATGTTTTTACAGTGTAGGGTGTCCATTCACCCTGCAGCTGGAATATTCTACAGCCCCATGCATCCCTGACTTGCACAAGCAATTAAGAAAATAGATGTGTGATGGTCGTACCAACAACCACACACTTGAAAAAAATGTGGTAATATTTGTTCAGACTGCATGTGGAGATACTCCTGAGGTGGGAGTGTAAAACCTTATATCTTACATTCTAACATTTAAGTTAATTAAGTAGTCGTTAAAGTTGTAATACCAAAAGTGAGTTCGATTCATTTGCTTAATCTATTCTTATTACACATCATGACACTACACTGATTGCACTGAACACTGTACCAGCAACCATTATATACATAATAAATTGTATTATTTTTCTCTATTTTTTGAGTTACCTGCAGGCTGCTTTCATCCTTCTTTGTTTGAGTAAAAGAGGAGGCTGAGGGTGGAGCTGGATTAAATACAGAGACTAATCAAAGGGAGTGAACTGCCTGTTGTGACCGCATGGTTTCTTTATATTAAATGTAGTTATTGTGGTGTCTGCCTTTGAATGTAATACCCCTTGTGGTGTCCTCGGATCAAAAATGGTCCCTAGGTGAATGGCAAACAAGCACATGGGAATCCCGGGGACACCACAAACTTTCGCTCCGTTGTTAAGCAGTAGCTTTGAGTAGACGTCTGTTTCATGGATGTACCTCTTTCTCAGAGTAACTTATTTTCTTTATTATGTGTTTTTGAGATTATTTTTGTCTTTTGGGGGTATATTAAAACACATATTTTGAAAATTATACCTGTGCCTGTACATCCTTTGAATGCTTGGACACTTACAGGAAAGATATTTCATGAAGATATTATAGGAAAAGTTGCACTGCACAAGAGCCTGAAAAATGTGTTTTTAAATTTAACATCTGTATCACAAAGTGATCAAACAAGTATTTAGGTCTCTTACTTGGCTAAAAGTAATAATTCTGCTTACATAATAGTACAAAACAATGACTAAAAGTACTCATGCACAATGCCCCCTTTCAGAATCATATACATTTTCTAATCAGATCATTCATCATTACTGATTTATTAATATGTAGATCCCCATTATATTGTCACGAGGCTGGGTAGTTTGTCCATAATTATGCCCCAATGGCAAAATATATATTTTAAAAGCTGCAAACTAATAAGTAACTAAAACTTTAACATAAATGTATGCAGTATAGTAGCATTTTATAATACAGCCTATGACTAAGAGCAAAATTCTGCTGTAATTACATAAAATCTTATTATGTTTAATATGTATTTTATTTGAATTTACAATGTAAATATATTTACCTACCAATACTTAAGGGTCGGCACACTAGAATAAGGGGGTAACAAATCAGGTTTTTACAGGAAACAAAAAAAAAACAATAAATGTACATCCTGCATATGTAATTTTAAGTAGCAAGCAATTTGACTGTAATATTAATATTTCCTGATCTCACATTTTAAATATGTTTTTGGGGTGTGAGCTGCAATATGGAGTAGTTTAACTTTGCCGTTTTACATCTTAACATCTCATTGTTTTACCTCTTTATTTAATATCCATTATGTACCTGACAGATCTTCTATTATTAAATTGCCCTTTTACTTTAGCAATAATAATCTGATAAGGACTAAAAAAAAAGAAATACCATCAAAGTTTGCAGGTTTATGTGACATTATAATGATGGAGCCACTCCATAATATGGCCTGCGGCCTGAAAAAGTACAGTGTACATAGAATATAAGACGGGGAAATATTTTTTGTGCTTCCACAAAATTATCAAGAAAGTAGTACTTAAAATTGCTTATGCGGTAGTCATTATCAATTACAGTATAATCTGTGTTTCATTTTCTGTAAAATACCCAGAATTTAGGCACTACTTAAAATTACTTACAGGCTACTTACATTTACCAAAACATTACTTTAATTTACTTAGAGACTACTTATATTTAGTTACAGTGTCATTATTTCTTTGTTTGCTCTAAAACCTGACTCGTTAAGCACTTCTTCTAGTGTGCCTACCTTTAAGGATTTGCAGGTAAATATAATTACATAAAATACATTGAATTTCCATTTAATTAGAGTACAATTAAGCCCTTAGTCAAAGGCCATATTATAAAGTGTTACCCTGTCTACAAAGTACAACATTTTTATCCAAACTATAACAGAGCAGAAGTAAAAAGCACCGATGCTTATATGCAGTAAAAGTACTTTAAAACTGTACTTCAGTAAAATCCATGAATAAAGTTAATAAGTTGGTCTAGTCACATTTATACTGTCACTCAATTTCAACTTTGACCCTAACAGTACTCTTGTCCAATCATATTTCAGGTGTGACAGTGCCACCCATATATTCCTGCCTCTGGAAACACCTCTGAAGCCCACATTTTATAAAATGCATCAATATAGAGTCTACTTAACAGATGCCTTTGTTGGTATTTGAAAATTTAGGATTGGGTATTTTGTCACATCTTAATTCAAGCAATGGTAAACACTGCCCACTAGTGGAAGTAATGAGATTAACAGACACACAATTTATCAACAAGTGCAAATGTGCTTAGATAAACATTTACAGGGGCAACAGCTTGCACATGCCAGCTGCTCTTGTAGGAATAGTCTGAATTCAGAATACACAGTATTGCCTGTTACACAGATTACATGGCTAAGAATTCGTCATCTTCTTTTTAAACCATAGACTGTATGTTTATAAGTAGTGGCAAAAGTATTTGCCATTTTGAAAGCCATGGGATATTCATGGTGGTTAATATTTACATTTAAGAGACAAACGAAAGGTTATGAACAAGTTATGGGTTTTTGCAGGTTATTCCTCACATGATGCTCTCTGTATATTATATTGTATACAAAAATGAAGGTGTATTTGATAACTTATCAAGGCAAATGAGAAACACTAGCTGGACTATTAACTTGTTTTAATTTTTATCATCTTTAAAATAGTTTCAGGCTGTGTAAGACCAAGAAGAAGAGTGATGGAGTGCTGCGCCAGATGGTCTGGCCTCTACAGTCACTAAAATCCACGTAAATCCATTCGAGATGGTTTGGGATGAAGTGAAGGCAAAAAGGCCGAAAAGTGCTCAGCATCTCTAGGAACTCCTTCAAGACTGTTGGAAAACCATTTCAGGTGACAACCTCATGAAGCTCATCGAGAGAATGCCAAGAGTGTGCAAAGCAGCATTCAAAGCAAAGGGTGGCTATTTTGAAGATCTAAAATATAAAACATGTTTTGAGTTATTTCACACTTTTTGTTTACTACATAATTCCATATGTATTCATTCATAGTTTTGATGCATTCAGTGAAAATCTAGAATGTAAATAGTCCTGAAAATAAAGAGAAACTGGTCATCACAGGTATTACTGTGAAAAAACAACTTTTTAAAGGTGGGTGACTCACCAGCATGTAGACATCCAATGTCTAAATAAACATGTTCATCATTGCCTCATCAGGCAAGTTGTAATGTTTTTAACCAAAATTACAAATACTAAAACTAAGAATATTTATTCTGTGTTTTTAGATTTTTCAAAAGTTGTTTCTTTATTTCTAGTTTTAGTTTTTACTTTAAGTTAACTATTATAACCTTGTATCATGATATCATAAATTCTTTGCTAGATAGATAAATAGATATGGTGGAGGTGCAGTTGTCGCTCTAAGCCACCAGATGACAACAGACACACTTACGTCACTGTCAGCGTGAGGATGGGCGTGGTCGCAGAGCACTTCCCACTCATCAGACATTTTTTGCAGTGTGATTGCAGTGTACGGGCAGCAACGCTCTCACCGTCGCAACAGTAAAACCGACTTTATTTTACTATTATCATTATTTTTTATATAAAAAAGGAGGTTTCCTTTTGACCTGACCGGATAACGGTAAGTTAACCGGAGTGCTCGTTTTAACGTGTTAAATCGCGGTGCTGTAGCGTAAACACTGGGCAGTTTTTTTTAACCCCCACGTTATCGACCCAGACTCGATTAAATAGCGAGATAGCGAATTTTAAAACGCAGGTTAGGTCGCTTTCTTTAAAGTTTTTAATTTTACATCCAACACCCGTGTTTGTTTGCCATTATCGGTACTTTTTTGTGCTTCATGTGCTTTTTGGTTGCTCCAGCTATTACATTGAAAGTCCGAGTTCCGTGTGAAGATTAGGGCTGGCGGGAGT